ACACACACACACACACACACACACACACACACACACACACACACACACACACACACACACACACACACACACTCCTCCCTCTCTGGAAACCTGTTCTAGAGGGAGTGACTTGATCCAGGCGGCGTCCAATTATATGGAAGCAGCACTTATTCCACTTTATTCCAGGCTACAGTTGAGTGGCTTGGAGCCTTCAGAGACACACAGACTTGTAGAATAAAGGCAGAGCAACAGACAGAGAGACGGTACCCATGTGACATGTGCACGGAAAGCTGAAGACAAAGGTAGAAACCACACCGAGTCAGGTTGCGCGGAGAGGAGGCAGAGGATGCTCCCAAACAAACCCACGAGAGGCTTCTTTTTTTCTCTCATCTGGAAATCTACGGCTTCACATGAATGATTCATGAGAGCCTGTTTTGATTTCTAAAGGAGTAAATAGGCTCTGTTTCACTGGCCAACCTGCCAAAACGCGCCAGCAGAGCTGGGATCAGAGCCTGGAGAAAAATCTGAAGTCAATTAATTTGGGGGGAGTTTGATAAGAATTCTGGACCTCGTCTGTCAAGGATCAACTGTTGCTGCAGCCGGAGCGCGAACAGAGACATTCTCCAAGTGTGTCTGGCTTTTTTACTGGATGTTTGACCGTCACTCGGTTGTGCATGCAGCCACACAGCCAGTGTTGTGCAATTAACATGGAAGAGAGACTGATACTGCTTTTGATGCCTTGGATACACCTTCATCTGTCCTGATGTGATGCCACATTGTTGCGCTGAGGAGAATGATAATATGCCACACAGCTGCTGATAATCCCTGCGTGTGAAACTGTACAAATACATCTTTTTACCGCCGTTTGGACAGTTTGGGCATTTTCACTCACTGTCACGTCAACACTGACACGCGTTTTGTTACTGTGACCTTGCCCGGTTTTGACATCTATTCAGCGGGAGATCATGCTGATGATGATGGAGAACAGCGGCGTGGATGTGCATCAGGTTGACATCGATTCGGAATTTGAGCCTCACGCTCGGCCGCCGTCGTGCACCTGGCCGCTGCCGTGTCCGGAAGACTTCCCCGGGGGAGAGGAGGCGAGCCGAGGTCTGGCCCTGGCGGCAGTCAAAGTGGAGCAGTACAACGTGCCGGCGTGCCGGGGCGAGAGGAAAGGCGGCGCGCCGGCCGAGATCAAGCATCCGGCCGGCGCCCCGGCTCCGGTCGTGGCCGCTCCCGCCTGCATGTCCGGGGCTGCCCTCGACGTGGCCGGCCAGCTACGCAAAGCCAAGTCCTCCCGACGGAACGCGTGGGGAAACCTGTCGTATGCAGATCTCATCACCCGTGCCATCGAGAGCACCCCGGAGAAGAGGCTCACCCTGTCCCAGATATACGACTGGATGGTTCGCTTTGTTCCTTATTTTAAGGATAAAGGCGACAGCAACAGTTCAGCCGGGTGGAAGGTAGGCCACATGAAAGAATGTTCTGACACCACACAGCAAAGGTTTGAGTGCGATACTAGCCTACACTATGTTTAGCCTCAAGCTGTGTCTGCAGCACACCCCCTTTCCTGCATATCTCAAAGCCACATAATTGACCCTGGTTCCAGCAATTTATGTCAGTGGCGTGTCCTCGTGTCACTCCACAGTACAGTGTGTGAGCAGGGGCAATGAGCGTGGCTGGATAAGGGTTCACTGGGTTCATTGCATTCAGGAATTCCAGCGTGTGCAAACAGGAGAAGCCACACGGAGCCCAAACTCCCCTCTTCACGGTTCCTCCCGGGTAGGCGAGCCGTGACGCATTTGCGCTCGTAAGCTTGTATTTCCCCGCGGTCACATCGGGGACATAGTGAGCCTCCTGTCCGATTTCTGTCACCTATGCCGTCGGTTGCGTGACGGGGATAAACCCTTTGGAGCCACCCCGCCCCCTACTATCCATTGCGCGCACGCCGAGTTACGCACAGGCTGTGGGAAAGCATGGCACAAGGAGAGAGGCTTAAAGGGTAATAACAAGAGATGATGACAGTGGGTGTCACAGCAAACAGATGTAACTACAGATTATCATTCAAATTAATACGAGGGTAATCTCATAGACTGCTAGCTGTAATCTACTTAAGGTTATCACCTATTCTGTGTTAGGATTACTAGTCTTTTGTTTCCACGCCTCACATGTGGGTTTTTCCTTCGTAGCTACTGTTTGACACCGTTCTCGTTTACAAACCATCAGGAGACTGTCAATAAAGCATCAAAGTGGGCTTCAAGTTACATTAAACACAAAAGTAACGGAACTGCATTTTATCGTAAATAACAAGAACATTTGCATCATTAGAGACCTGATTTGCTCTGTCTCCACTTGTGTTTTATGGTCTCAGTGGGAGTTCCCTCAGTGGGATGCAAGGGTCAGTGCTGCAGTTAATGAGCGTTTTAAAAAGTGAAACACACTGTTAACTGTAACAGAACACGGACGAGGCCTCAGGTTCTCCCATCTTTACTCAGGTTCACAGGCGCCGTGAAAACACACAATGTATTTATTAAACATGATGACAGTCTCCACAGAAAGAGTGGGGACTCGCAGTAGACATACAGATATAGCGAGAGCAGAAGTTTATTTTTTAAATCAAAGAGTTCATAATCAAAGCTACAGAGGATGAGACGCACAGACTTTCTTCTGTCATCGTTAAGGCTCTAACTGAAAACTCTGTACGGTGTACACGCTGACTTTATGGTTACAAAATTCTGACATCACTATGACATCATCAGAATGATTTCTTTATAAACTTTAAAGCCCTCTCAGAGCTTATTAATAATATACAACTGAAAAAATTATCCCCATAACAGTCAATTGACAGTCTTGTTTGTAACAGGTGGAGGAGAAATGTGGATGCTTTTTAAAGCAGCGGTTTGTTGCCATGGTGTTTTTGCTTTAGTGGGTCACCCAGAGGATACTGTATCAGGCATGCAGAAGAAGAGGAAACAGGGTCATAGTGGGATTAATCTGTGTGTGACATTTTATCCTATTCTTACAATGTTTTTGTCAGCGTCTTTCTTCTTATTTGACTAACTTTTTCCTTCAAGCTTCAACTCTATACCAGCTGAAAACTGAACATAACCGAGTTGCAGATTAATCCACGTAAAAATGTGAAAGAACAACAACAAAGAAACGTAAACCAATGATAAACAAGACTGGATATGACAGGGTTTAATTCCCTGAGTCTTGTTTTTGTTGCTGACCGGGGGATGCTCAGCGTGATCCCTGGCTGACCTCCACTGAAGCTTTGTTTGGAGGTTTTGATTGGCCGGTGTGGCAAGATAGGTGATTGGTGCAGAGACGGACTCCAAGTCCTGCGTGAAAACAACAACTTGATTCAATCACAATAAGTCTCATCAACAAAAGAGAGTAAGAGAGAGACGTGCACACTGCTTCAATGAAATTTCTAACGCAGTGTGTTTATAGGTATATAAGACATAAAAACGTACGCAGGCACTGACATTTCAGTAGAATATGTGTACACCCTCACACTGAGGGGTTGGGGCTTGTGAGTACATGACTGGCTGGATGAATGGGACGAGTGGGAAGGAAATAAGATCCAATCAAAGTCTTGCTGCTAAAAGAAGTCTTTAAGAGCTGTTGTGTAATCGCGTCTGAGAGCTGCTGCTCAGCCCTGCCACTGGGCTGTGTCTCCATATCTAGGCCAGCAGCTTCCCGTGCACCCTTCAGACAAACACTGTTGAGGTGTCACTCACTCGTTTAAGTGTGAAGTGCTAAGGCCACAGCAGCCAATCAGATGCTTTCACACACTGCTTGTCTCCAATGATACGTATGTGGATTTCTTTGATTGTTGTCACACACACACACACACACACACACACACACACACACACACACACACACACACACACACACACAGGCAGTGTGTGTGTGGCAGCAGGGTTGCACTGCTGACTATGTATGGATTTCTCTGACTGTGGCTCAGTAATTGTGGTCAAGTGTTTCAGCCATGTTTGTTATTGGCTCTGAGGTGGGAGGCTGTGTTTGGCTGTATGAAGTGAGTTCAGTTCTGTGGGTGGTTTCGGTGCTGCTGGTGGTGACGGGGGAGGGGGGTGCGTTCTCTCTGTCTCACACACACACACACACACACACACACACACACACACACACACACACACACACACTGTTATGTTCATTTCACAAGTGGCTCTGCGTGGGAATGGATGTGCTGAGCTGTGGCCTGTCTGCAGGCTGTACTGCACACAGATTGGGCAGCAGGCAGGCAGGTAGGCAGCAACGATCTGACTCTACCTGAAGGCTTTACGAAGAAGCATGTTAGAGGTTCATTGTGGGTGTATGCCTGTGGTAATCAGACTGCGATAAAATGACATGAACACAAGACAAGCAGCAACTTAATATGTATTAATTTTTGTTTTCTGTCTCTCATGAGAGACTGGTCATGAGAGACTATAGTGTTTCTTTCCGTTGGTATATTCAGCACCAGAACGACTGTAGAGTTTCATTAGTGAACTCAGCTTAGGGGAGGCATATTTTCCCAGCAATCTACACATGAACGCAGATCAAATACGTGTTTAGAACTGATCTGAACCTGATGAGACATATTTTAAAAATCCTCACAAAGTTTCACCAAAGCCAAGCAGGTTTCACAGAATAACTAGTACTAGGACTAGCTATTTGAAATGGGATGCAGTTATATTTATGCTTTTCATGTTAGAACAAGCTCCAGGTCTTCTGAATTTGGAGTGGCTCTGCTAAACACCTGACGTGATGTAGGGGAAGCATCAGGTTTGTTTACTATACCAGCGTGGTTGAGCACAGGGTTGTGTTTCCAGTGTTATGGTCGGGTAAAACAGTACGATGCCGAGGACAGTAACTAATATGTAAATATTACATATATATTACAGCACAATTTGGATTCTGTTTCAGTTTAAGCTCCTCAGTTCGTATCTTTCAGCCTTTGATGAAAATTGGAGATAATGTACTGGAATTTCAGGAGCAGGGCCACGCCTCCAAACACGCTCCTTCCGGGCCTCATCTGTATACGCTCCCCCAGTTCTGCGAGCTGTTCATTCTCGTTTACGTGCCCCTCCCTCTCTCCTTGTTTTCAATTCTTTAACTTCTTCACTTCTATTTAGTACACGGGGATCTGCCAGGCCCGGGAGCCGTCGCCAGTCCCCTTCGAGGCCTTCCCCAAACCGCAGCTCAATTCATGTCCAAGCTTCACCTTTACCTACTAAAACGCTGTCAAACCTAAAATGAGGACGTGGGCCCAGCTAGTGAATATGAAGATATAAGTATCTTAGATTTTTGTCACTGGGGACAATTGTAAAGGTGGAGTCGTATCGTTTGGCTCTTTTTATTTACATATGAACAGAATATATTTTTTAGAGAACAAATTCCAACCCATGCCGTCAACACCAAAGCAAAATCTTTTCAGTAAAATGAACACAGTGTTTGATAAAATGAGGCAAACCTGGGTTGCTTTAGACTGTACAGGTGTGACTAATAAAGTAGCTCACGATCGTGTCATCCGTCCATATGCAGCATCCTGTCTGAAAGCACGTAGACACGAGGATCATTAGGCAAGGAGGAATTTTACAGCTTATTCCAGTGACCTTCCAGTAACACAGATTAAACTGAAAAACTTTAACACGGTGACTTATGAGAGAACTCACAACAAAAGTATTGATAATGATGTTTTAACTCCTGCAGAGAAGAAAAGAAAGCAAATTACATCCATTGAATCTTTCCTCTGGGCTGCATTTTCACCTGCTGGAAATCAGTTTTAATCCAAAATGATGTCCGCATTAAAACAGTCAAACTGACTTTAGATTAGCTTATCTTCTGTGTCCCTGATTACAGAGAGCAAAACTGAATCTTTATTGCTAATCTGGATCATAAAGCACTTGCTGTATTACTGCCCGGGCTGAGGAACGTCACCGTGTTCTGCTGAGAATCCACTTGTGGGTGATAGTGAAGGACAACAAGGTGATGAGATGAGAAAGAGAAAGCAGAAAAGAGAGAAGAACAAGTATTATTTGTCTTGCCAATAAAGCCTTTTTTGAACTGGATTCCATATTGAGTGGGAGAGGAAGAGAGAGGTGGAAAGAGAAGAGATAGAGCGAGTGCGTGAGTGGTGCTGATGGCCCCTGCTGCTGAGCACATTGATAGCAGCCTTAATGCCTGTGATGCTCCAGTGCCAGCCCAGACAGAGGGGAATTGGTTGGAGATGGTGAAACAAGCTTAGAGGGTTCCCCGTGCCAGCCGGCCTGGCGCTAGCTCAACAGAAAGCCCTCTGCACCACTACACAGTTATTGTTATTATCACAAAGGCACAGCAGAAGGAGAGGCAGCTCTGGAGTTGGCAGGCCTGGGGCTGGGTTAACTGGGGGCGTGGAACGAGAAGAGGAATTTGGAAGGCGAGGGGGGTTGGTGGTTGAGTCTGAGACTGTGGT